TCTAAGTTTTTCCAAACATTTACAGCATATTTTTATAAAAATGTACTAGGCTTTGAATATTTCCTATTACAGCCACTGAGTCATATACAGTTGTATAGTTGTCTCATATTACAGGAATACGTTTACTTTGTTCCAGGTGTTTTTAATTTTCTGTGTATTCTCTTCTTTCTCCTGCCTCACCACTTTAGTTCATTAGATTTTTCTCTGAAAGTTAAATTCATAATAAGATGCATATAAAATAAGTCTGTTATATATTTTTTAAAAATCCTAATATACAGGAATATTACTGTATTCTGACTATATATAAAACATGATATGAGGAAAAAGTTTTTAATCAACCTAAGAATCAGGATGATTTTTGAGAAAAATTTTTTATTTTATTTTAAATTAAGTTAACTGTATAAATCAGATATATGTCCAGGATGGATCCCAAGTCTGGTTCATCATTTTTGCCCCCTTGTCATCCTTTAAGTCACTGAAATATAATAAATGAAAAAAAAAAACCACTGCATGTAATGATTATAGCTAAGTAACTGACATTACTTTAAAGAGTATATTTTATCCTTCTTAAAATAAGAATATAATAAAATTAATGGGATACTTACTTTTTATTTTATCCTAAAATAAATTTGTTAAATCTGTGACAGGGTTTTCTTTTTATCCTAATAAATTAACAACCCTGAAAAGAGATTTACTACCCCAGAGTTAAATTGTGATTATCTTAAGGAAAACATTAATCTTAAATTACTTTTTTCATGTTCTACAGGATTCCAAGCCATATAAAAAGTTGTTTTAAAAAAATAAACATGGCTTGCTCACAATAATCTGCATGCTTTTCTCTAACTTTTTGTTTCCTCTTTCCATGCAAACAGTACACACTGCAGACAATAGCAGCATTTCTGAAAGAGTGAGCTTTGCCCTCACTGAAGCAGTGTGGTAATGAGGCTTCACCCTTCTATCCCATTTACTCCCATCTCTCTCACTGGCCTTCAGTGAACCTCTAATTCTGGGAAGAAATGCAAACACGCATTTGCTCAATGACTACTACACATTTAACACCATTGCTAGGCATCAAGAGCGCTGTAAAAGAAGGCATGGTACCTATTCTCACAAAGGCTACAGAGAAACAGAAATGCCCATTTTTTTCTCTTTAACCTATGTTTTGTTTTGAACCTTGAAAGGAGCAATCAAAGGTAAAGAAACTGTGTCAATCCACAAGACAGCTCAAGTTACATTATTTAAAGGTCTAGAAAAAGAGAAATATTGATAAAAGGAGAAACACTAGAAGAGCCTAATTAATTTTGTCCTTAACTCAGTGGTGTTTAGTAAATAAGGAAAAGACTATCAAGAGATTAATAAGGGTTGCTTAGGTTAAAGAAAGAGAGTACAGATTGTAAATAGAAGAATTCAATGTTTTCCATTAAGGATAAAACTATTTCTAAAAACAGTTAGAAATCTATGACAAATATAGGTATGTGCACATATTACTCAGCATTGATGCATGCACATACACAGGAATATTTGTATTTTACATACCTACTCCCTTTGTTTTGCCAGGGAAGGAAGGTTAGACTAACTGTATATAAACACCTTAATTTTCTAAAATATAGCTATGAATTTACCTCTTAATCCTTCTGAAAAAATGTTAAAAAGTTCTAAGAACAAAACAAGCAAAAACATTCTCACAATGTTGGGCCACTAAAATCTATTACAATAGTTATAGGAATGGTTCTTAGTCCTTTTCTCAATGACTATTTGCTTTCTACTTTATGCATATTCTGGGTGTTTGGTTACTTGGCATCTCATTTCAGAAGAGAAGTGTTGCTATGGGAAGACACTCCAATAGCCATGATATGAGAATCAAAAGAGAGCCCCTACAGCCTCCTCCACAAAGCTGCAAAAACAGCTTTTTAAAAAAGCAGTAACCTTTAGGGCATCAAATTACAAAATAGCACATTCACCGATGTTTCAGATAACTTTTGTTTAAAAAAAATTCAACATACAATATTTTAAAAATATAAAGTTTGTTTAAATTCATGTGCTAAGTAGATTACCTGACAAATGATTTTAAAAGAGATATTAAGGTACAAATTCAGCTGTAGTGTAACAAAAGAACAAAACCCAGATTTGAAGTATTCAAACTGCCAAGAAAGCAGGTAGGGATGATAGTTCTTCAGCCTAAAGGCTTGTTTTCTCCTCTCTTTGCCAGAGCTATAATAATAAATGGGTAAATTTGCTCAAACAATAACAAAAAATAAAAGTTTCCTCATGGACCTGTCTTCATCAAAATTATAGTTATTTATTGCTTAACAGAGACCAACGTGATCTCTTTATAGTTTTGAAGAATTAAATAAAAAAGATAAAAATATCAGAGCTTATTTATAGGTTTTATTTTAGACAGTCGATTACTGAGTTCACATTGAAACTTAGCTTGATAACAACTATGGAAAGCCAAAAACAAAGAATGTCTCTAGGCTACCCAAGAACATAAAATCCTTGAGAATAAAGCCAATTTTATTTTCTTGTTTTATATTAAGAAAGGTCAAAAGAAGAAATGTGACAATGACATTATTTTCAAAGCAATGACTTCCAAACCTTTATCTCTGAAGCTCTGGCCCTGCTTATCCCAACTCTAAACCCACATCATTAACTTCCTACCATTGTTTCCACTTGACTATCTTGTCATCATCTCAAACTAAACACAGGGTTAAATAGAACAATTTCCCAACCCTCCTCCTCCACAACCTTCAAGCCAAACCAGCTTCCTATGTTGATTTCCCAATCCCTGTCATGCAGTCTTTTTTTTTTTTAATTAAAAAAAACAAAACATTTATTGATTTTTAGAGAGAGAAACATCAATTTTTGTTCCACTTTTTGTTTAATTGATTTCAGAGAAGAAGGGAGAGGGAGAGAGAGATAGAAACATCAACGATGAGAGAGAATCATTTATCAGCGCACACTCCCCACTGGGGATCGAGCCCACAAACCAAGCATGTGCCCTTGACTGGAATCAAACCTGAGACCTTTCAGTCCGCAGGCCTTTAAGTCACTGTATTCTTGCCTTTCTGCAGCTATTGCAGTGAAGGGTGTTACGAGGATTAAGTGATAGAATATATGTAAAATGCATAGCAACTGATAAAAAGTGCCTTCCCTGATTCATGTCTAAATCTGGGACCTACTGTCAAGTTTCAAAAATAGTTACAGTAAGAGAAGTAGCAGTAAATGGCCATTGTCTATCCATGTGCAATCTGCTCATTTTTACTTACTCTGGCAAAATTTATATAAGTATAGCTCGTTTATAGGTACTGATTCTTTCAAAATAACTTTCCCTCCTTTTCTTTTTTAGAGAAAAGAATGGAGAGGGAGAGAGAGAGAGAAACATCTATGTGAGAGTGAAACATAAATTAATTGCCTCCTGCACCCAGCCTGACTGGGGATCAAACCTGAAACCTGGATATGTGCCCCGACTGGAAATAGAACTTGAAACCATTTGGTGTATGGGGCAATGTTCCAACCAACTGAGCCACACCGGCCAGGGACTTTTCCTCCTTTTAATAAAAGCAACACAACCTTTAATAGAAATTGTCTAAAGTACTAAAAAATGTATAGAAAACAAAAATTACCCATAATTTCACTATCCAGAGAATAGCATACAATACCATTAGATCCCAATGGAATGCAATTATCATTTTATAAATTTTCTAAAATCATTTTCTCTATTTGCAAAAATCCTGAACCCCCAAACACTTTCCCTTCAAATTAGCTTTGGGTAGAGCCCATAACATTCTAGCATACTTCATTTAGCATTACATTGCCTAGTGTTGATCCATTATAGGGCAGTTTGTCAAAATATTTTCATATTTAAAATATACATCTATATCTAAGTATTGATATAGTCCTATCCATAAAAATATTATACAGCATAACTGACACATATGGATAGATATATGAAAGACTAATATGATGCCATCTACGTGCTCACAATCAGCACTGTGCTCTTGTTTGAATGATGCCAGGCAAAATGTCTGATAACTCTGCTGAAGTTTACTTTCATTGTAATGTTTTCACATGAATTCTTTTTCACCCATTGAAGCTAAAAAGGGGGAGTGGTGGTGCTGGACTTGGTAGGTCTCAAGGAAATGTATCATTCTGCAGCTTTTATGGTAACCAGAAGAGTTTCTAAGGAAATACTAAGGCCAAGAAAAAGATATCAACAGACAATTCAAACTGAAGAATAATTTTAAGAGAGTACCTGGAAGAAAGCAGAGTTGAAGGCCTATCATGGCTTCAGAAGATGTGCATAGGAAGGGACCACAAATGTGCAATGGTAAGACCCCCTCTCCATGGAACTGAGCTACTACACCTACTGACTCTCTTACTTCCAGAACTACAGCTCGCTCACAAAATTGAGTATGCATGTAATAGAAGACATGTTAAAATGGGAACCTATTCTTTACTTAAACCAAAACTAAGGAGCATAATATTATATGAATCCATCTTCAAGTGAAGCCTACAGTAAGTAGGTCCATCTCAGCTTTCACTATCCTAGTCCTCGGATGTGTTCATGTTACATGAAAATAACGTGATTTCTTGGCTAATTTCACCTAGATTATGCCAAATGCAGCTCTATGCTGCACTTTCTAGTCATTCCCCATTTACCAGTTACTGCACAGAATACTCTTCCGTTCCTGAAATCTGCACCTACCATTAATAAAAAGGTTTTAAAACATCCAGAGCAGAATCTATCATTATATAACTTTTTTTTGCCAACTGTTAGACATGAAAGATTAGGACAGTAGAGTTGATGATGACTTTTACAACAGAAAGGTAAATATATTTTGGATACTTCTAAAAACTCAAACACTGATTACAGGTGAAATTCCATTTTGCAACTGTAACTAAAGAGAGTTAACAAAAACAAAAAACTTTCTATTTATTGCTCTTTAGGGTGACTTTTAAAAGTTCACAGAAAGATCTCAAAAAGTAAAGAATAAATTCACCTTATTTTCTTCTAGAAATTTCAACTTGATAGAAACATCATTGCGCATTTTATCGTATTTTTCCTTATGTGCTTGGAACAGATGCTGTGACTGCTCGATCTTTGGCAGAGTGTTTGCATCACGTGGTCCAAGATTCAGTTCTTCCAAATCAGTGCGATATGCATCATATTCAATCCTGGAAAAAAGAGAATAAGTGAAGCACATTACAAAACAGAGTGAAATAGGTTCAAGAAGTGAGCTAGAAGTACATTACAGTCTCATATTATGCCTTAATAGATAATAATTTTCATATATACTTTATACCTTATGCTTTTAAAATGATGTATTTCTTTAATACAAAAAACTATTAATATAAGCATGTCAGGAAACAAAATTCTACTCATCTCAGAGTAGAATTAAGCTGCCCCTTAACCTCGTTAACTATCCCTCCCAAAGTACAGTATTAACTGACAAGTAAAATTTCCAAAATGTGAAAACCAGTTTGAAAAAGACAGACGTTAAAATCTAATGCTAACAAGAACAAGAGTAGTGATCTGGTTAATACTGATAAGGCAAAGCAGGTGAGGATGGACTTTAGAATGAGATACTTAAAATGAACCAATAAAAGGAAGTTAAACTGAGGGTCAGCAGTCCTTAAAGTACAGTTTATGTCAGCAATGCACAACAGAACTATAGCGCGAGCTGCATATGTAACTTAAAGTTTTCTAGTAGTCACATTAAAGTAACAAAAATTAATTTCACATGTTTTTTAATAATACATTTTATCAAAAAATCCAAAACATTATCACTGCAACATGTAATCAATGTAAAAAACTGTTAATAAACTATTTCACTTTTGGGGGATACTGAGTCTTTGAAATCCATCATGTATTTTACACTCCCATCACCACTCAATTCAGGCTGGCCACATTTCAAGGGCTCAGCAGACACACATGGCTAGTGGCTACCATATAAGACAGCACAACTCCAGATGGATTTCTATAACATTAGTATTCAGAATGTGACACAGTATCTATCATAGAGCATTTACCACCTTGTGTTCCTTGAGATGTACCCCCTAATATTCTCCCACAACTAACTGAAATAGTTACCTCACTCACTATCACTCCATGATCCCATAAGCACCTCATAATACCTCAAACACAGCACCTGTGAAAGTATAATACTATCTTGTTTATTAAACAGTGACTTATCCAGCAGTCATAATTACTCAGTACTCAGGCAAGAAGAAAGTGACCTCTAATTTAGTCAAAGTCAGCACCACAAAACTTATGCCCTAAAAATAATGCTCTTTATTCAAATCTCTCAAGTACAAGTCACAGTTCCTTTTCTGAGAATTACGAACATTTTAAATGTCAAAATATATTGTATATAAGACTTGAGAAAGAATGTACTGAACCTAATTTATTCTTCACTTGTACTGAATTGAACAAACTTGATCTTTCGGGGCCAAATATTCATTCATTCATTCACTGAAACATTGATTCATTCAACAAATATTAAGTGAGCACATTCTATGTTCCAGGCACTGTGCTAGAAAGTAGAGCTATAAAGATCATCAGATAGTTTATCTTTGAGAAGCTTACAGTCAGTGGTTCTCAACCTTCTGGCCCTTTAAATACAGTTCCTCATGTTGTGACCCAACCATAAAATTATTTTCATTGCTACTTCATAACTGTAATGTTGCTACTGTTATGAATCATAATGTAAATATCTTGATATGCAGGATGGTCTTAGGCGACCCCTGTGAAAGGGTCGTTCGACCGCCAAAGGGGTCGCGACCCATAGATTGAGAACCACTGGTCTAGAGGGAGAGAAGTTCTTAAAGAACTACAACAAAATGAGATGACGGAAACTGCCACGAGAGAGGATAAAAGAGTGGAAATCAAGAGGAAGAAATACATAATTAGATATTTGAAAGGCATCTCAGAGTAGAATTAAAACACTAAAATAAAATTTTAGAGGATGGTAAAAGCTTAAAAGGTAGATTGGGGCAGGGAAATTGGTAGAACTTTCCAGGAAGAAAATACTATGGACAAAGGTGTTTTTATCTGTTTTAAGATATCATGAAACATTTGGAAAGTAATTCAGTATGTTAGAACCTGAAGTTGGACCACATAATGGAAGGAGTCAAAGTCAAACAGGTAGACAAACCTGAGATTAAGCAGGGCTTAAAGGCCATGCTAAAGGGATCAGATTTAATCCATAGGACAAGGGATGGGAAGCCACAGAAAGAACATGTGCAATTTGTTCAGGACAGAAAGATGATTACAGTAGTAGTGTAAGGAATGGAAGATGAACTGGAGTTGAAGATTAAGAAATCAGAAATAAGGAAACCAATTAGAAGATTATGGGCAAAAGAAAAATGAGTCACTGAATCAGGACAATGGCACTGGGGCTAAGAAGGAGGAGACAGATACTACATTTTTAGGAGGCATTGACTTTGTAACAAGTTGGGTAAATTCCATGGGTTCTATATAGCCAACTGGATGACCACTCTATCCTTCCCTGGCTCTGATGTCTTCAGCTACTTTATCTCTTGCTGCTTCATATATATAAAGTAGTCAGGATTCCAGGTATTAACTAATATCTTTGCTTATTATTATGGCCAAATTAGAAGAGAAATAACTAGAAGCAAACATACTAAAAAAACTACAAAAATAAAAGAGAAAAAAGTAAAACAAAAATAAATAGTAATATGTGGTGGCTTAATGTGAAGACAAATATCCTTCAATTGCCTTGAATCACAATTTTGAAACAATAGTGATTAATTTAAGCATAATCAAAGTTATAATGCTGACCTTATATTCCCTTAATTTTTACATCCAGAGTTTGTAGACGGTATCAAAGTAAAACTTTCCATAAGGGCTTCTTTAACAGTGCTCATTACAACCAGAAAGAGAAGCATACTAAGTTTTTAAAATGTAACTCTTCAACTGCCAGTCTATATTGAGTCCATATCAACAAAGTTAGTCATAGTTGGTTACTTTTGGTTTATGTAAAACTTCTAGAGAATAGGTGTCCATATCTAAAAAGTCTTGACCACAATTGACTCCCTTGTCCGTGCTGCTGTAGAGAAGTGTTGAATGGGCTGTTATTTGGTTTTTTATACATGAAGCACCAGAGGGCTAGGAAATGCTTGTACACAATGCACAATGGGGAGCATTAAAAGGCCACCCGAACATTTGCCTAAATTGCCACTTTCTGTGCTGGATCAAATAGCTGACCCTTGTCCTAAAAGTCAGTAAATTCTGGTTTTGACAGAGAATAAAATTTAGCTACTGAGAAATTTTTAATCTGGGATTCCTTTTTACATGTTACCCCTCAGTAGGCAATGCTTTAGTGTTACACCAGTCAATTCCTTAGCTACTTCATAAAAAGCACAGAGAAGTCAAACCCCAAGCTAACCTTGATGAATAAAATCATATGCTGTAATTTCAATAAAAAGAACAAATTATGGGGCGAGGTCATTATTGGTGGTGGTTTTTAAAGCACACACAGAGGATGTCTAAAGGTTTCCTGATAATCAGCTACCAAGTACATATAATTTGATTTATAATTTTGTTGAAGTTTCAAACAAACCTCTATATTGGATAAACTAAGATCTTATATCACATTGTGCTTTGTCAGATTTCTCATTATAAGATACGAATATTATTTTTTATAATAAGATGTGAAAATTTGAGATTTAAAAGATGCAGTTCAAGCTTGAGGCCTAATGATCAAAAGTAGAAGGTAGGAAGCTCATGGATTCTCATTTTGGTTTTAAATTAGCTCTCCAAGTGAGCAAAGCATTCAACGTCTAGAGGTTTATTTTTTTCTCTGCAAATTAAATATAAAATGTGTATGGAGTGACTTATCTAATAATTTTTTCTTTCTTTAATATGAGCTAGTATTTTTAAAAGCATGTCAGAAATAAAGGTTGAAGAGAAAGATATTACATGTCTAAAATAAAATATATTTTACATTTTGAAAAATATTTTTTAGTAACTACATATATTTCAAAATAGGTGGACAATTATAAAGTAGAGAAACAGAACTAGATTCATGTAGTGTTTAACTGGGGATACTTTTGTAACAAAAGAATTTGCAACTTCAAAACCCACAAATATTAAAACAAGAGTGCTTAAAATGATTAAAGAGATAAAAAGAAGAGTATTCATTATGAACAAATTAGGATATTATGAATAAGGACAGACAGATTTGAAAAAGAATCAAATAGAATTTATAGAAATGAATCCTTTGAAACATACAGCCAAGGTCACGAGAGGACTTAAATAGAAATTGGAGAACCAATTACTGGAAATATTATTGAAGGGATTCCTACTGAAAGATATCTTATTGAGAGACTCCTTCAATGTTACTGAGGAATATCCTATTGATAGATTCTGTTTCTTCTTTTCTACCTTCTGATTTTAATACTATGTTAGCAAATAATTCAAACAATAAAGTAAAAAAAAAAGAAGTCCAAAATCTAACTATGGCACTGAGCCCCTTCTCCTTCCTCCTCCCACCAGACAACCACAGCTATTTGTCTTAACCTTCATTCCCAAGTCATTAAGAATCTCATATGAGTTAATACTAAATTGAAAACATAGCATAGGATAGAAGCATCTCTTCTTGTGGAAAGATCAAAGGTAACCTTCCAAGTGATTTGGGCTTTTTTTTTTTTTTCTTCTGTAAAGCAGAAGAAAATACATACTTAAGAATAAGCACTTAACTGCAAAAAAAAAAAAAAAAAAAGACTAGATGAATTTAGTTTTCATAAGCATTTCTCACATCATTAAACTAGGGCCAGAGGCCAAAAAGTAAAGTTAAACTTCTAGAAGGTAACGTTTGCACTTCAATTACACTACAAAAAGTATAACAGAAAATAAAATTTCAAGTGGTAAGAAGAAAAAAACACTTCAAGGGGCTTTGAATGTGGTGTGTGTGTGTGTGGGGGGGAGCGGGGGGGATGGAATCTGGAATCAAAAGTTGAAAACTGCTATCATGGGTCTGCTACTTTTTAGACATTTATAAGTATTTATTAATATGTACTTTGTTTACCTAATAGGGTGGTAATGAGATGGAGAAATTGTGTGTGTGAGTGTGTGTATATAAAATGTATGAAAACACTGCATTATACACAGCTATGACAATATAAGGCAAATATTTAATTTATATAAAAGGTAAAATTTGAAAGAGTTTGAAGGCTGGTTATAATCTGGATAAATGGAAGATCAGGGAGTTGGTATCCACAACATGAACAAAGTCAAAGAGGCAGAAATGAGCTTATAAATTCAAGAGAAATGGAAACTATAAGTCTGGCTACTGCAGAAGCAGTCAACTGCTTACAGTGGGAAGTAATGGTAATAAGGGTGAAAAGGTAGGCTTAGGACAGATTATAGAGGGCATCTAGTATCTACCTGGTAGAACACAAGGCCTTGTCCCCTTCTAAGGAAGCTGGAACTGGGAGAGCCTTCATCTCCTTATTCCCTAGCAGCCAGGGTTTGGGCACATGACCAAGATTCATTCGGGCACCTTAAAGGCAATGAAGCAAATATTCAGGGGTCTTTTGGAAATTATTTATGGTAGCTGTGGCAGCATCAAGTACCAGGGGTACCCAGCATCAGGGTCCTAAGTAGATTCTTCTGAGGAATTATCTTGGCTTTCTCTTCTCTTGCCATTCTGTTGGCTCCATAGGCTATCCTATAACCTAATACATTCATGTACTGCCCATATTGGCCAGAGTTGGTTTCTCTTATTTACAAACAAAACCATTACAGAATTGCATACCATCTGTAAAAGAGATAATATAATGAAAATTTATACCAACCTGGCACTTTCATACTGTTTCACAGTCATTAATGTATCTTCAATTGTTTTATTCACCAAAGTGTTCACACTGGCAATGAAAAAATTAATGGCTCCAAGAAGAGTCTCTCCATTTTTAGCCAGCAGCTTCTGGGTGTCTGCATTATAGCCAAATTCTTCCTAAAACAAAAAGTCACCTTAACTTATCTAGTAATAAATTAGTAAATTTATTTAAAACTCTCAAATATCACTAATGGGAAATTATTTGATTTAGAACTCTAGCTATAGAATTTTTCTGTCAATGTTTTAAAAAATAGGAATCTAAATTATAACTAGCTATATTATTACCAGAAAAGTCTAGTAAACCAAAACTGTCGTCAGCTCAGATGCATAGCAAAATAAATAATTTTAAAAGTTAAACTACTTTGTACTAGAAAGAGTATTTTCATTTCTCCTTTTTGTTTCGATTATACTGTAAGCACAGCTGTTAGGAAGAAAAATATAGCAGATTATTAATCAGAAAAACTATAACTTTCACAACCAAATTAGGTAACAATTGGCTAAAACTTTCAGACATAAAATAGATTGCGCTTTTGTGTTTTGACTAAATCTCTTTGAAGTATAAATATTAATAATACACATTTCTTTGTAAACTTAGTGACCAGTTGACGCCCAAGCTCAGGTCTATCTGGGCATACAGCTGAGGAAGGATCACTCGACACCAATGAATTCATTTCTCTGAATAAACTGAATCTTGGCTTAGCAACATTACACATGGCTCCTTCAGATATGGCAAGGACTAACTCTAAATTTTCAGCAGTAAAAGCTTTACAGTCCAAGTTTGATTAATTAACAGATTATCAGGAACACATCAGACCAAATAAAAATGTTGACCATATTGTAAGATGTATCACTCAATTTGAGAATTCTGAAGTTTGTCATAAAAATTTTTAATTTAGCTGAAGAGAATGTAATATTAAATTAACTTGAATCTTAGAAGATGCAAATTTAATACTAGTGCTATAGCTATAATTAAACTTTTAGGAGATAACATATTCAACAGTTAATATATAGCAGGAAAGTAAAATTATCTTTATTATGCTAAAAGTATTTTCCATTTAGAGATCCAGTACTCTATATGCTGGACTGAGGAAAATCTATACAATCTAGAAGGCTGCTCTTTTACTAAAAACAAACAAAAAACTAAAACTTAGTAAGATGAAACAGCAGCAGAAATAGTATATTGCAGAATTTGAAATCCTATATTTATAGATGAGAAAAACTGGCCTAAATTCAAAGCAGACAGGAGGAGTAAACTGCCACTATTCTGTTTCATGAATGTGAATCTCACCTATAATTCTGTGATGAGAATGTGTATAAAACTTAAGATTTTAATGTATAATTTGAAAACTGGCTAGAATAAAAAAGCATTTTTACAAGAGATATAGTAGTAAAAGACATAAAACAATTAGGACACTAGGAAGAAATATACATATGTACATGCATTATGAATAAATACATAAATAATTAAATATGTTTTGGCACCGCAAATATGATACAACATCATTCCTAAACTTCATTTAGTTGATAAGTTATGTTACTATTTTGTTAGAGACATTTTACATATTTTTGTGAATTGCCTTAGTAATTACAAATAAACTAAACAAATACAAGAGTACATACATCAAGAACAAGGCTGTGGCTCTAATCTGCCACTGAAGAAGGAAAACCAGACCAATTCCCTGATCTAAAAATGTGCTTACTTTACATATGGAGAGAACAAATTTTGAAAATATTTTAAATTTTTTTTATTCTTTAGCAGCTCCTACATCATTTACATCTACCAGATGCAAATTTACCAGATGTAAATAAACAGCACTTCCCATTAAACTTAGGACTAAATAATTAAAACATCTGATTTGTTCTAAAACATCAAGTTTTAGTAATATAAATTATTATGTAATTGATAACAAATGCATTATTTTAAACAATAATACAGAGCAATAAAAAATATAAGTATTAATTGATAATTGACAGTAATTTGGGTTGTGTGAACTTTCCTAATTTTGATGTAGATGTTACCCTTTAAATTGAGAAAATACAATTTAATGAGGTGCCGTGGTATAACAGAAGTAGGAGTCAGAAGGCATGTGATAAAATGGTAAAAGTCTAGTTTGGTAATTCAAACAACTTGAAAGTTCACATCTTGATTCTGCCATTGACTGGATTTGTATCTTTTGTGAATAATTTCAATTCTTTGTGTTTTAATTTCCTTACTAATAAAAAGATCATTCCCATACACACCTGATAGGAAGTATAATGAGATAATCTGTATAAAGATTCAGACAGATGACAGATATTTGTTAAAATATCATTTCCTATTACCCTCAGGACATCGGCTCTTTTACTGGTAGATGTTGGTTGTTTCTCTAAAAGGAAAGAATTGGACTAATCTTTAAATTTTCCTCAACTTCCAAATGCCATAATCCCATCAACAGCTATCACATCCATCCTAATTTATGTAGTGCCACCAAGTGCCAGGCCCTATGTTAAGTATTTTTCACGGATCTCAGTTAATACAGCATAAGGTGGGAGACAGTGAACACCATCTCTTCACTACTGCACCCTGCTAAGTTATCCTCATAAAGAATCAATAGAGGCATGGCTGGTGTGGCTCAGAGGTTGAGATTGACCCAGGAACCAAGAGGTCAACAGTTCGATTCCCAGTCAGGGCACATGCCTGAGGCAGCTGATGGATGATGATGTTCCTCTCATCAATCCCCCCATTCCCCTCTCTAAAAATCTATTTATTTTAAAAGAATCAACAGGCAAAGAAGGGAGTAACTTTGCAAGCTGGCATGAGTGATCCTGATTACCAAAGGAAAATTGGATTGCTGCTCTGCAATGCAGGTAAGGAAGAGTGTGCCTGGAATATAGGTGATCCCTTAAGGCAGTGGTCAGCAAACTGCAGCTCGCAAGCCACATGCGGGTCTTTGGCCCCTTGATTGTGGCTCTTCCACAAAATACCACGTGCGGGCGCGCATGTACAGTGTGATTGAAACTTCGTGGCCCATGCGCAGAAGTCGATATTTTGTGGAAGAGCCACATTCAAGGGGCCAAAGAGCCGCATGTGGCTCAGTTTGCTGACCACTGCCTTAGGGCGTCTCATAGTACTCCTATGCCTTATGACTAATATCAATGATTTGGGGCACCCTACCAAGCAAAGAACCATGACGGCTGAGGGGCTGGCTGAAAGCAAATGCCATATAGAATGGGTAGTGGAAGCAGCTAGGACTATGTGGACATTTGTAGAAATAAGGACTATACTTTTAATGAGTATTTCTTTCTTATTTTGTCATAAATACATTTGTGTGTATAAATACCTTTGTTTTTCCCTTCCCTCTCTTATCCCTCTTTCATGTAACACAGTATATGTTAACTTTACATCATAGTATTTAAGTTATAGTATATTAAAGAAAAAAATGAATGTTACCCAAGGACTTTGCATCCTCTTCTGGGGAAAGAGTTAATATGTCTTAAATAGTCTGCAGGACAGTTGTATCATGATAGGTGGAAAAGACTTTATTATTGTCTTTATTTTGAGATTAAATATGGTTTAAGAACATGTCCATATGGCTAAATTGAAATGAAGGGTTGTGATAGTTAATTTTATGTGTCAACCTGTTTAGACTATGGTGTCCATTTGTCTGGTCAAACACCAGTCCAAATGTTGCTATGAAGATACAGATTTTGTTGATTCGAATAACATTTATAATGATAAACACTGGAGAGGTGATTTAAAGTTGACTTTAAGGAGATTATCTTCCATTATGTGGGTGGCCTCATTCAAATAGTTGAAGCCTTACGAACAAGACTGAGGTTTCCAGGAGAAGGAATTCTGCTGTAAGACTGTAACATAGAAATCCTGCTTTAGATTCCAGCCTGCTGGCCTACCCTACAGATGTCAGATTTGTCAACCCCCGCAATTCCTTAAAATAAATCTCTTTGTGTGTGTGTATATTATATACCTATCTCCTATTGGTTCTATTTCTCTAGAAAACCCTGATATAAAAATATCCACCCAGTAAATATTGATTCCAGATTTCAAATACATCTCTAGTAGGTTCTAATTTACCGTTATCGATTATTATTTTTTAATCCTCAACAGAGGAAATGTGTTTTTAACTGTTTTTTTTTGTTGTTGTTGTTGTTTAGAGAAAGGAAGGAAGGTAGAGAGAGAAAGAAACATCAATGGGTTGCCTCCTGTATGCACCCTGATCGTAGATTGAACCCATAACCTAGTTATGTGCCCTGACCAGGAATCAAACTGGCTACCTTTTGGTGTATGGAACGATGCTTTAACCATGCCACCTGGCCAGGGCTAGTTCACCATTTATTTTACATTTATAAACATCAATTAGAATGTTAAAGCCAATGAATTTTCTATTTCCTTCAAATCACTTAAGTATACACACTTGCCTTGAGCATTTGTTCACTGACAAATCATATCAAGCACATTTTGGTGCACAAACATCATAAAAGAAGAATATATCATGTCTTTTTAGCAAAATAGGATGGTCCAGATTCTTGACCCAAAATGTTGCGTGATGGGAGTCACTCCTGCTGAACGACTAACTAGATGAAAGAAAATACCTGAAATGGTTAATTTTATGTGTCAACTTGGCAAGGCCATGGCATCCAGATATTTCATCGAACATTTATTCTGGATGTTTCTGTGAAGATGCTTTTGGATAAGATTAGGATTTAAATTAATGGACTGTATGCAAAGTAGACTGTCCTCCATAATGTAAATGGGTCCCATCTAATCAGCTGAAGTCCTTAATAGAACAAAACTGACCTCCCAGAGCAAGAAGGAACTTTGCTAGCAGACTGCCTTTGAACTCAAACTGCAGCTCTCCCTGGGTCTCCAGCTTGCCAGCCTACCCTGCAGATTCTTTATGTACTGAGTCTTCATAATTGTGTGAACCAGTTTCTTAAAATAAATCTTTATATATCCACACATCCAGCTGGTTCTATTTCTTTGGAGAATCCTGACTCATACAATACCACATTTCCTTTTTGTCCTTAATAATACATTGTTACTCACTGACCCTTGGATTTAGGATGAATTTTCTGGGATATCATCAGAAGACTCATAAACTAAGATTTCACTTATATTATCAATTTTGCCATTATTAAGAGTCAATACTGCTGAGTCTTTGCAATCCTCTTCTGATTTATCTAATAATTGTGAAATATCTTCCTCTGGTATTATCTTCTCTTTGCCATTATGGGCAGGAAATGGAAAATTCTAAGTTCTCCGTTGTGTTCATGAATATTAAAAAAAAAAAAAAAAAGACCACAAAAATGGTTTCTCCAGATTTCTTTTTGGCAGCACAAACAAAAAGTATTTCTCTCACTATTGTATCATTCTAGGCAATGGTGTCTTTCTTTTGTTTTATTATCTTAGTCATTTCAGGAATTGAATCATGACCTCCCGGTTCATAGGCCAATGCTCAAACACTGAGCCACACCAACTGGACTATCTTAGTCATTTTTAACATGGTTGGAAATAACTGATGAATAGTGATGAAATAATTCCTAAGATGATGAAATAGCAAAATGTTTTAAGATATAGAAAAATAAGATCATTAAGATCCCATACTGTGTCATTAATTTCTTATGAACCCATATGGTAGTTGCAAAATAAAAAGTTTTATTCTATTAAAAAAAAGAAGTAAATTTTCTCACTGGGAGACCTTGAAGAAAGAATAAAAGTCATGAAATACCAGTTCTTACAAAGAGTTAGAAATGCTCAAACAGAAAACTCAAAAATTAAAACTGAGTCCAATGGACTTGAATACTGAGGATTATTAACCTCTTAATTCTGCAAAAAAAGGATTCACATATACAAAGAAATGTAATAAAAGTATTTATTAGCTAAGACTGACCATTAGTTGAGTTAATTCATATATAAGCCAGGTCAGCAAATGTATCTCCAAGTTGCTTAGAACTGTATCTGGCATATAGTAAGTCCCCAATCTGTTAACTATTATAATTAATTAGTGGCCTGGTGTATGGATTCGTGCACATTGAAAGGAAATTAATTAGAAATATTTTAATATTGCTATTCGCCCTTTCTCTATAATAGAAGTGTCAGAGATGAAAGAAAATGAGTAAGATATATATGAAAATAATATATAAATTAAATAAACAACATAAAAGACATGATATAAAAACAACGAAAACATAATAAAAAAATTGATAAAAACAATGACTAATAAATTGATTAAACTTATTCTAATATCTCCCTGTATACCAGATTAAGAGTAAAAACACTTTCAGAGTGCTTGACTAATTTCCCTTGTGATGAAGTATTTACAACTTTAACTTTGACGTCACATGCTCTTCGAACTCGAGAGAAAGCAACATATAACTGACCATGTCTGAAAACGGGTTCAGGTAGGAATATTCCTACTCTGTCTAGAGTTTGTAATTTATTAATAGTCATACCAAAAGCTGGCATCACGGGAAACTGTCTTTGAATTAATTTAAATGGGAGGCCAGTGTCAGACGGGGATAGTTGTGCCAATAATTGGTCTTCAGACATATTCTGTCGATGACGCCGCTTTCTTTCAGCATCAGAATGTCAACGAAAACAACCAAATTCACGATCGACAATGACAGATGGAAACACACGCGTGCGATTGGCATCAGCGAGAGCTTTATATGTATTGTACACGTGTGAGTCAATGTTTATTTTTAGATAGCCAGTGTGCATCATATGTACCGGCTGGTCGGACGGACAGACGTCGGTCACTTAGGCTTTTAAAGATAGATAGATAGATAGATAGATAGATAGATAGATAGATAGATAGATAGGTTTATTGAGTGTAGCATTACTGTTAACATATCTGCAACACTTTCCCAGGTTCTATACCCTGGCTACCTCTTTCTATACTGTGGGGCTTTTTCTCTGGGTCATAGACCCTCTAAAGATTCCACTTTAGATAGCATCATGGAGAAACATAGACAGACCAGGATATAAATTCCAGTTCTACCTTTTGATTCATAATCTTATAAAAATCACCTAACCTCTCTTGGCTTCAGTTTCCTCATCTATAAATTGGGGATAACATTTCTTGCAGTGTTGTTCATTGAATTACATGATATAATGATTATAATGCATTCAGTCTATTACAATTGTGGACACTCAAAACTGCAGCTGTTATGCTTATCCTACTTTCTAAATATTAATTAGTTCTTTTTGTCTGACCCAGAATTGAAAATCAGTATTTTTCACTATTATGATATATGTTGCCATCTCTAGCCAGCTTTCTTTGTCCAAGTTTCTAGATATTATGAAATGATTTAATACTCTATATTATCTAACTCTTGAAGTTAGAAGTCTGTATGCAAGGGATTTCTGTACCCTTAGGTGAGAGAAAAAAAAAAGACAAAAAGGAGTCACTTAAGATATCGTAAGAAATTGTTGGAAATGTTTTGCTGAATAGAAATGTATGCAGAAAAATAATTTCATTCTAAGACTCACAATTTATATTAATGATTCAGTAAAAGTATATCACAAATCCAGTCAAGCAAGTTACTACTTGTTCAAGACAATAGGAGACTAGGTAAGAGTGAGTTTTCAATAGACGCACAGATTTACGTTTTATCCACACCCAGCTATACATAACTATGACTCTTTCTAGGTTCAGGCAGGCTGAGTATTCCGTTTCCTTCCCTCCAATCAAGTTCCCTTCCCCTGAAGCCTCCAGCTGACATCTCTAGAGTACAACTGGTTCACTATGTTGACACAAGTCAGTTGGGCCTTCTTAAAAATTATATTAGACTAGAGGCCTGGTGCATGAAATTCATGCATGGGGGGGGGGCCCTCAGCCCAGCCCGTGACCTCTCACAATCCAGGACCCCTCGGGGGATGTCGGGCCTAAACTGGCAGTTGGACATCCCTCTTGCAATATGGGATGCTGCATGCACCAGTGACCATACTTTTCATACAGGTGAAGGGCATCTTGATGTTGTATGGGCAGCTACATTTTTTTTGCCCTGATTATAAAAAGTAGTACATAACATGATCCTTCTGAGGCAGTAGTACCATTTTCCCCATCTTATGGATGGAAAAACTGAAGCAGAGAGAAGTTAAGTAGTTGGCTTTCTCACACAGTTATTAAGTGTCAGAATCAGGGCTGACCGCAAAATGTGCAAGCCAGAGTCCATGCAAGTCATCACTGCATCATCCTGTTTTTTCAGTGTTAGAGTAACCTTGCCATGTTTTAATTTTTAAATCTAAGAGACTGTTCCCAATGTATAGGGTAGGGTTCCTAGGCCTGGCCGGCGATCAGGGTCATCTGTGGGGTAACTGGCAGGCAGAGCAATGGGGGGGGGGGGG